AAAAAAAAAAAAAAAAAAAAAAAAAAGAGGAGGCCTCTTTCTGCCTATATATGTCAGTGGTATGAATTGCTATAAAGGCAAGAAACTATGATAGACAGAAAAGCCAAAGAAATTCTGATGGGTTACAAGGTACCTTCCTTTGGTGGTGGCAGGGAATGTAAGCTCTGGATTATGAGAGTGGGAGGCAGATTGCTGTATTCTGTCCTTCTAAGTTCTAGCAAAGCAGGTACAAATCTGAAGATACTGAGTTTTGTGGATTTTTTTTACTTAGCAAAAATCTTAGCTTTTTTCTGAATTTACAGCAGGTCTTTTTTTCCTACATCCAAATTCCTTTGCTTGTCTGTTACTAGAACCTTTTTTTGAAATAAATCATAACACTAATGTTGTCCCAAATGTGAATTCTGTGGAATTATATTGCGCTTTCACGGACGTTAGCTCCTTTGATCTCCCACAGCAATCCTTTCCAGAACAGAACAGATTGTCTTGTTTTCCTGGTCAGGAGGCGAGGTCACAATGGCTCGTGGACGCTGCTTGAGGTCGTAGTGAGTGGGGGCGGCCTTGGTCCCACGGTCCAGGGCTCTGTCCTGTCGCCGTGCACCTGTGTGTGCTTCCAGGGGTACGGAGAGCAGCTCCTGGCGCTGTGGGACCGCAGTGTCTCTGCACAGCCCTGCCTCACCTTAACCTTCTGAGTTACGTGTTTTCTTCTGCTCTCTCTTCCCCATGGGTCTGGTGTGTGCCCCTGTTCCAGCACCTGCCACATTCCTGTGGATTCTTTGTTCATCTGATGGTCTCTCGCAGCAGACCTAGAGCTCAGGAGGGCAGAAACGTGGCTTTCTCATGACTTTATCCCTGGGGCCTGGCACAGAGTGAGGCCTTGATATATTTCTATGAAGTTAATGAATATAATTGGCTTAGAAACTCTTTTTTTTTTTTTTGAGGCCTTGATATATTTCTATGAAGTTAATGAATATAATTGGCTTAGAAACTCTTTTTTTTAAAAAAAAAAGCCATAGAACTTGGAGAAGGAATGCAGTGGCACTGTATTCAATTATATTTTAAGTAAAATTTCCATTGCAAGTGGAAAAGAATTACAAAGCTGTGTTTCTTTAATGACGTGAGTAGCAGTCCGAGACAATGACAGTAATTTAATTTTCTAACTACTTAAGAAAATGGTTTTCATTCACTGAAATTAAATAAAAAATTGTATGAAATCTAAAAAAGCAAAGACTAGCAGTCTTAATAAAAAGTTAAATATTTTAATAAAAGCAGCACATTAATATATGCCACGTCCTCACTCCCAGTGGTTGTGTTTCCTCTGCACTGCTACTTAGAGACATCTTATATGAATTTGAAAAATAGTTATCAGAAAATTACTTAATTTTTTGTAAGGTAAATTTTTTTTATTCATTAGCTGGACCAATTCAGCACTTTGACAACCCGGGAATTGTATGCAGGCAACTGTCTTTTAAATGGAGCTTTATCTCGACAAAAATCAGCTAGGAAATGTGCTGACAAAAGATGCCTATCTCTGTGGTTTAGAGTTGGCTTCCTGTTAATGCCAAATTCATACCATTTTGGAGAAATATTTTTTTTTCCTGCCAGCCCCTCTCTATTTCTCTATTCCCTTATCTGTTTTGTTATGTGTGAATTTAGATGCTAGTTTACAGATTTTGGCTGCAATAAATAGCATCATTTCATAAACACTCTGAAACTGGAAAATGCTTGATGTAAATATATAACGTTGTTGCTTTTTAAAGACTTGGCCACTTAGGGAGGGGGTAGGAAGACATGGGGAAGAAAGAAAAGGAGAAAAAGTAGAACTTTCCGTGTTATGAGTGGTTTTCTCATAGCCAAGTAAAACATCAGTGCCTTCTCTTGGAAGGAAAGATTCATATAAATGCTCTTGAAACCTTAGCTGTACGGGAGAACATGGCTCACCCTGCAAGTGTTTTCAGTGCCTGCACAAACATCTAGCCACTTTGGTGCCTTCTCTTGGAAGGAAAGATTCATATAAATGCTCTTGAAACCTTAGCTGTACGGGAGAACCTGGCTCACCCTGCAAGTGTTTTCAGTGCCTGCACAAACATCTAGCCACTTTGGCTTAGAGATCTGGTAATTTTTGCCTCTTAAAAACTTAAGAGATTTATGGGCCTCTACCCAGAGAATTTAAAATATGGGAGTGGAGCCTTAAGTTCTCTATGATATTTTTTTTTTGCTTTTGATGATATAGGAAAATTTTCAGCCCTCATTCTAAGTGAATCTAAGAAGTGCTTATTGGGTCATTGATTCATGCACCATGATGGCCTTAGCTTCTTAAAAGTTACCCGAATATTCCTGTTTTACTTAGGAAACATTTCAAAATGAGCAGGCTGCACCAGGAGGTAATAGGTACAATTCCTGGTGGCTCCTCCGGCCCCTTCCTCCTGAGGATGCAGGCCTGGTCTCAGGAACTGTCTGTGGCTGGCGTCAGCTGGCCCGCCTGTGTCAGCCGGCAGTGCAGGGCAAGCAACGAAGCAGGAGAAGGCAAAAGCAAAGGAAATAACTATTCATCTTTTAAGGGATAAAGGAAATTAAAATTTAACCCAGCAATCTCTAAACTTCTGTAGCTATATTAAGATCTAAAGTTTTCCAACTGGACGTAGAGAATTACATTTGCACATTCATGGATTTGTACATTCACTAATAAGGAGTTCATCTTGAGTTCTTTTGACCAAGACGGTTATCACATTCACCCAGATCAGCCGTGATGCGCCGGTTATTAATACTCATTAAGTGAAAGTATTAGGTCATTTAAATGTCTGATTAAAACCACTGACAAATAAAGAAAGAAGTTAGTTTCAAAAAACGACTAGTATCTCCTCCAGAGTTGTACGTAGGACTCTAGTGAGTTGAGAACCTCTTCTCCACCAGGCAGGTACTGAGCTAGGTGCATTATACAAACTGCTCATAATGCAGCATGCCGTAGGATTACCGAAACGCTTAGTTCTGTAAGTCAAGGAAGAGGTGAATTAATAGAAAAGATCAATTTTAAAGAATACTTTTAGGAAAGTAAGGGAGTAGTTTCGTGGAAGAAAAATATATAGAAATGGGAAGTGGAAATGGAATATGTATATGAGATATAAATGTGCCTGAATTAAAGCAAAGATCATGAATTATTTTACCACCATAGAGTAAGCCTCCCGAGAGCAGGGGAGAATTAATGAATTGTAGAGAACTTTAAAACCTATTATAAAAATGTGTACTTCATGTTAGAAAACATTGAGAGTCTTGACTGAAAAATTCAAGAAAGGAAATATTGTCAAAAGGATGTTTATGGAAGTAGGAGGTAAATATCCACTCAATGGACAACTTGAACATAGAGCACACTGAAGATGTGTTTTAGTAACTCAGCAGTGAGTTGGACCAGTGGGCCAGTGTCCTGTGTATATACTCGATGTCATCAAAAGGGAGACATCTCAAATGCATTGACAGGGATAGAAGATAGGGAACTGGGAATCTTAATCACTAACGATTATGGATAATTGGAAAAGGGTGATGTCTGAGAAGGAAGGAGTAAGTAGACAATGAAGTTGATTTTCACCCCACTTAATTGCTTTGTTGGAATATCTAAATGTGGGTATCCTTTTGGAAACCAAGAATAAGCACTTAATGTACTTCAATAAATGCCTTTTTATCTGCATCTCCTAGACTCTAAGGTCCTTGAAGTTAAAAATCGTGTGGGTCTTGCTCATGTTTGTATTTCCAGATCCACAGGATAGTGCAAGCCTGTTGTATGTTACATAAGCAGTACATCTTACTTGAATGAATCAATTAATGAATGAGTAAATACTGGATGAATAAAAAGAGGAGATAAGGCTGGGGGGTGGAATACTCCATGGAATCTTAAGGCATATTTAAATTTAACGAACAGAGTCGTGAAGGGGAGACTGAAATGAGGAGAGAATCAGTGGAGAGAAAATCAGAAATATTGACAATGAGCTTCTTTATGAGTTCTTCAGTTTCCTAATACCAGTGTCAAGAATTATGCTGGGACAATGAAAAATGGTGGGTGGTGGAGCAGGGGAAGTCAAGGCATTTATACTGTGCTTGGAAGAGGCCTGAGTTAAGTATTAAACTGTAAATGCGAGGTGAGGCTAATTGGGTTTTTGGCAGAGAAAGAGGGCCTTAAAGAAAGAAAGGTAGCCTTAGTGTGGCAGGTCTGGGAGGCTGCAGCAGACTGTGAGGATTAAGGCAGGGCCTTGCAGGGGCAGTGAACTCACTGGAGAAGTTTATTAGCCATAAGATGAGCTGAAGCAGTCTTTCGAGAGTCTTAAAATTGTCGAACTCTTCCTGTAGCTTGTAGTATAAAGTACCGGCTTTGTGGAATGTGAAACCATGACGTCAGTGTGCTTCTTCACTTCGTCTTATGCCCCACCCCAGAGGTCCAGCTGCATCTGGGGCAGGCAGCCTGTTGGCATCTGCACCTCCCACCCTGCTTCCGCCAGGGAGTCCCTGGAGACATTGGGATGGCAGCCGGGATTGCCATGGGCGCGGTTGGGTTTTGTTATATACAAGGAAGAAGAGGGGATGAGGAAAAGGGTGGGTGGGACAGCAGAAAGGGGAACATTGGTGTTGACAGAGGGAAGCAGCAAGTGTTTACTTGTCATGGAACCAAGTTATTTCACTTTTAAGAAAGCAGTCATTATGTTGATATAATAATGGCCTTTGAGTGTGAGTTGTCAACAGACAGTAATAACTTTTAATGAGTCCGCTAAAATAAAACCTTTATGGTACCCATGTGTTTGGATTGCTGTGATCCATTATTTTAACCCCAATTTTACTTTCCTGTTACATTGTGATTTATTATGTTTGGAGCTTTAGTCATTAATTCCTTAGGGAATATATTTTAGAGCTTAAACTTTTATTTTAACTTTTAGCACTGCTAATTTGAATGATTTCCTGTTTGCTAAATTTTAGAGATATGAGAAGAATTTATTTTAACCATAAGACCTTGGAAAAATGGGGGAAGACGTTTTTGTCTAGGAATAGCCAGGAAAGTGGCCAGTGACTGAAAGTCGTTAGAGATATGAGAAGAATTTATTTTAACCATAAGACCTTGGAAAAATGGGGGAAGACGTTTTGGTCTAGGAATAGCCAGGAAAGTGGCCAGTGACTGAAAGTCGCGAGTTGAATTGCGTTGACAAGCATGATTTGTGCAAGTCCCTTAAGGACGTAGCAGGAGCAT